CATCATCATCATCATCATTGTCATCATCATTGTCATCATCATGGCACAAAAATCCTTAAATGTAATCAAAATATCGTTAAGTTCAGGATGGCAACCCATGGTCAAGAAGAAAAGTGGTGGACGTCTTGGTCATTATAAGGAAAAAAATAGGGAGGGAATTGGTCATTGCCAGTAAAGCCTACTATAGGAAAGTATCAGGGTACAAGGCAAGAGGAAGACCAAGAAAGACCTTGATCCAGTGAGTGAAGGATACCTTGAGAACATACAATATCCCACCCTGCCACGCCATCAAACTTGCTAGAGACAGGAAGCTCTTTCTTTCCTCGACGCCCTAGAGGTACATCAACATCATCATCCAGTGCCAGATCTGCGACAGACATCGGCGATCGTGGTTTTCCATTTTATTCCTTTGCTCGGATGCTCTCAAAAAAGCTACGTTTCCCTGATCTTTCCCAGTTACCAATTTGTTTAGGTTCCCTAAGTATGTTGTTCTGGGCCTACCCCTGCCTCATTTGCCTTCAATTTTTGCCAGTGAGAGCTAGGGGTACAAGAGGACGGATAAAGTCAAGTAAGTAAGTAATTGTCATTTGTACTTTTGATTCTCTTAACAGGTAGCCATTAGAGCTGGTTCCACTTTATTCCTCGACAATGGGTGGCCGCTTTAGACAACTTGGACGGTACTAACTAGGGAAAAGTGGAGGTTAGATGAGCTTCACATACTGCCCAAAAATGAAGCTCAACGCCATGGGTAAATTGTACTAAATTCTAGTTTTTAAAATAATATTGTGTTTCAGTCTCCCTTGTGCAGTTGGCCACAGCCTTGGAAGGTATAATAATACGTATGGTTGCAGCAAAAACTGATGTCAAAACTGTTTCTATAGATAGTTTTTTCTCACCGCGTAATTCAGGGAAACGAAATATTCCTTTATTTTCAAAAACACAAATTCAAATATTACAGAAATATTACCTCTCCATCACCACCGTCATCATCATCATCATAGCCTTATTTTAATTTTTATCTATCTTGCTTTTCTGTCTGCTTCCCTGTCCTACTCCCAGTTTCAAGTTCTGTTGCACAATAGCCAAATACTTCTGACATGGTCTTCAGATCGATTATGTTCAAGTCAGAAAGATTTAATTTAGAATTTAGACATTGAAAATAAACAATAGAAAATATGATACTTGACGCATACAAACAATTTTAAGAAGCCGGCATGTAAAATAATATAGACTTCGTTCTCCGGAATACTGTTTGTTATGTCTCTGATAATGATACTATAACTTAATTCTAAATATCAATTAATTAAATTGTTAGGCGGACATGTGTTTCCCTAAGGGAAAAGAGAAATATTACAGGCAATGCCCCAATGTTTCGTAACATCCACACGTCTTTGACCAGCAGCAGCAGCAGAGAGAGTACAGGCGTCATGACGATGCCATCTGGCGTTCTTTCGCTGTGTCCAGTACCCCTCTACACAAAAGACCGTTTGACCACTCATCAAACGCCACGGGGCTCACTCGCAACCCCTTCTGCCCACGCCGGCAGGAGGAGGGATCGAAGGAAACTGGCAAAATCACAGCCCCCACGCGCATGCGCGAAGGAACACGAAAGAAGGCGCGACCGAGGCGGGCGTGGAGGGTAAGCAGCGGTGTGTGTGCGCGCGTGTGTGTGTCGCAGGTGGGGGTAACCTGCCGCTCGCCGTGCCGTGCGCGAGTACTGAACCCGCCTCTCTCCTCGTGGGATGGACGACAACTTTGGGGATCATGTGATCGAGTCATATGGCCATCACTTGGATTAATCTAATCGCATTGATAGACGGAGTTATTACAACTGTTTTCAAGTGACGGTAATTAGAAATTACAACAATTCGTACTCATCCTTGGAAAAGAGAGTTCGTAATAAAGGGATTATAATAATCGTTCCGAGTAAAGATGATAGAGGACTTAACAGCAATTCGTACTGTCTTGGAATCCTTGGGAGTTTTGTGCTATAAGAACTGTTAATTAGTGTTATTGTGGTTACATGAAGTGATGTGTTAGTACGTAGCTGTTTGGTTGAATGGGTGTTCATCCAAAATGCAGTTAACATAGATTCCTGCTGCTTACCTGTCGTAAAGATTTTGAAAATAAGATAAGTTAAGACAAATCTTTATTGTCCACACGATGGCACATTGGTTGGTGTTTCACCACTCACTCACCCACAAACTCTCCCACACACACATAAACACACTCATAAACAAACTCACACAGATACGCACACAGACATACACACACACACGCACGTACACGCACACATGCCCTGACATACACAATCACACACACAATCACGCACACACTAACACACACTAACAAACACAAACACACAAACAAACATAAACACACACACACACACACACACAAACACACTCACACCAACACAAACACACACACACCCACACACACACACACACACACACACATACACACATACACACATACCCCCCCACACACACTCACAAACCAGCGCGAGCACTTCTACTTGTTTCAGGAATGAGTTTTTTTCAAGTGGTGGTAATTACGAACTACATAAACAAACACCGCTGCGAAAAGGGAAGATAACTCATATGAGCATTTCTTGGTAACAAGGTTTCTCATTTTTTGTTTTAGTAGAGGTTTTACGGCGCTCGCAACGGCATAAGGTCATTTGAGCGCCATAGGTTACTCAGAGTTGTGACATACCGGTACTGGAAAAGCTAGGACAATACATTTGTTAATAGTTATGATGCCTTTAAAGAAAGTTTCTTTTTTCGTGTCTATTCCAGCCAGATAAAAATCACGTTTCAGTTCGAGCAAGCTATTTAAATGGCAGTTATTAGAACAGCAGCTCTCTGATAAGGATACGGGGGAAAAATCGTTCTTATCAGCTGCTAAGTGGCTGCTGTGACAAATTGAACTCGCAAAACTTACGACAAAGAGGAAGTTTCAGGTTTAAATCCCTGTGCAGGTTCGAAATTTTCTCCTGTTTGTGTACCAACATGGGACTGAGTGCCGCGTCTGAGTAATAGCTTTACAGTAGATAAAATACGACAACAACATTTTGTTTTTGAATGATAATAGTAAGTAATGATACAATGTAATAAAACAGTGTCATAACAAACATTGATAATGATGATAATGATAGGAACAGTAACAAACATATTATGCTGATAACGGTAGTAATGACAATGATGAGGATGAT